CTTTAATTTCTGCTCTTCATTTTCTGCATTTCCATTTCCCTCTGTTTCCGTTTTCCCCTGCTCTGCTCGGCTCTGTTTCAGGCTGGCTGGCACGAGGAAGAAGAAGACTGTTTGGTCTTCTCTGACTCTGAACTCGGTCGTGGGCTGGACTAGAGGGAAAGTGGTTTTTAGTTTGTGGGCTCAAAGTGTCTCGGCCCATTCCAATTAATTCAGCCTGTTGAGACTTATTTCGGTTTGGTTTAATTTCCGGTTTTGGTCCATTAGTTCATTGTCAAAAGAATTGACTCAAGGGAGTCAAAATCCCTAATTCTCTTTGTCTTCACATTCTGTTTCACGAAATCTTCTTTTCTTCAAAAACTATACAATAACACATACCAATCGTAGTTGGATAACATCAAACATATCTCATTGCAAGAAAACTTGGTAATTCGTATACTCCCCTGTTCATCCTCTGACTCATCCGAAACCTAGTAAAACAGAGGAGACATCAAATCGAAAATTTACAGATCAGAGCGGAATCCAGACAAGTAGAATTTTATGCTTCCATGCATCGACAATTCGACATGAGGACATCTGGCATCCCAAAATGAGACAAGAACATTAATAATTGAAAGGAAAAGAAAGGGCCAATGTTGCTCACCAAAAAAAAAAAAAAATCATGTTCTCATTTCCGAAAAATAGTCCACAAAAAAAATGCCAGCATATATAAAAATAGCCATGCATTGAGAAGGATTCATTCTCCAAATCTCAACCCCTAGATATATTTGAAGAAAGCTAGTTATTTCCCATCACCTTTGCATGAGATTAGCATCCTCCATTACTCTAAAGTCGACTCTAATATTAGATGTTGTGTGTCCAGTCGTTTTTATCAGTTTTTCTGAATTAAATTACTATTCAATCCAGTTGATCCGGTCCGAAAATGGACCGGACCGAAATACAATAAAACAAAAAACAAGGGGAAGTGAGGATTGGAACCAGACCGAGAGCATGTTTGATTTGTTCGGATCGATTGATTCCAGTTCAAATTCAGTTCCGATCTACTTGTCCTCCATATTTAAGATAATTTGTAAGGTCAGATCATATATGAATCAAAATATATCTAGTCTGATTTGGTGTGCACTGAATCATTGCCCATCTCAAGTCTAATGAAGTGGTTAAGATTCATACATGGACTCCCAACTATTAGAGTTATTGGGACCAGTTGGTTTATGACATGACGTCAGAGCTGGTTTATCCTTGAGGCCACGTCTCACGTGTTCAAATACTCACGAGCCCGATATTGATCGTTGTCTTAAAACACATGGTATACCGAGCATGTGCAAACTCCAAGCCTATAAATCGATTGATTTTCGGTGAGAAAGAGTGTAACGAAATAATTAAGATTCATATCTCTCACAACAACACAAGTTATTGACACTAATTAGTTTATATCACCTACAGCTCCATTACCTTTCGAATACGAAGCTTTCTTTGAGCCGAGGAAGTGATGATACATCAACTTCACAAGAGTAAGGCGAGGGAATATATGAATATTCAGGGATTCAAAAGCAACGGCTATTTTTCTCGTCCAATCCATAGGGTTTCGATTCCCCTTCTAATAATTTTGAGGATATGTTGGATGGAATGGAGCCTTCACTCGAGTCCCACTCCATCTCTCTCCATCATCCTTTTCTTTTCTGAAAGCAATCACACGCAAGAATAAAATCAAGTGATGGAATTGTAATTGTGTAATTCTTTGGGGTCTACAGATGAAGATTAACCATGTAAAGAGAGAAACACAGATAGAATAGACATCTCATATGGTCGATGTATGGCATATTTAGATTGGATTCGTAAATTATGCATGTTAAGAACTTGGATTAGTGCTCATGGAAATGGAACTTGTTCCATAATCTGTCTATTACCATTTTGCGCAACTGTCAAAAAATGGGAATTACCGAGTTTCGAAGAGAAGACCCCTCGGTTAGAGAAGACTCTGATACAATGTCAAGAACCAGTTAGTCTTAATAATTCGAGTTGTTGCGAGATGTTCAATAATGGATCTTATACCACATACTAACATCAAGTACTTGTGTTGGTAAGTCAGGTATTGTTGATGGATGACTTTAGTAACTACAAGAACAAGTCTATCCCAATAAGTTTAAAATGCTATAACATTTTCTTACATCACCTCTCAAACAAAAGTCAGGTCGTAGGTTTGAAATATGCACATGTATATCATTTAACTTATACTTAGACTAACTGGTAATGTGATCATACCGATGAAGATTCAAACACGAGAGAAACGCTCTTATACCAACCAAAATTTTCCCTCTATCAAGAATTATCAAGAGAATATCAAGTTTAGATTTTACACTACTCTTTTAGGGCATTATATCAAGGGGTACTTAGATAAGGATTGAAAAATTGTACCGTACTGGCGGTTCTATAAAAAAAGTTTCTACAGGAAGCGAAATCAATAGACAATATTTAACGGCATGAAATGGTTGAGCTACGATTACACTACAGTTTTAGCATAAAATGCTATACTATTAAATTTTCCGGTACAATCTCCGATACAATTTTACGATCTTTCATATTTACATGCCATTTTGATATGTCAAGATGGTGACTTAGGGTTCCTGCTTATCTAACACCACAAAATGATAGGACCCTTTCCCCCTGGTCCTTAATCCTTACGTGGCACTTGACATGCTTGCCGCGTCAGCAGAGGTGAGCCTGCCATGTCAGCATAAATAATTGAGTATATTCTGAGATAGCCACGTGAATTGCCAAAGTCTGCCTTGTGGACTGGATGCCTTCCTTGTGCAAAAGGTTGCAACTTGCCCTTTGTCTCCAATGCCCTGTCCAGGATTCCCATGGCTATGAGATATGAAGTTACACATCTGACTTCTATCTAACCAAATCTTTTTTTATGCCCCTGATTCAATGTAAAAAAAAATCGTATGGAAGAATTTCTCGAAACTCGAATTCTCGATAACTCGAATAATTCGGACTAAATAGCTTGTTTGTTAACATGGCTTTATAGTCTTTAACATATAGGTATCGTGTTTGAATCATCATGATAATTAACACACGGTATGATATGCATAACATGAGAAAACTTCAAAAGTACAAGTATGATTTATCCCAATGACTCAAATTGTTCGTTTAGCTCCCAATATTATTCTGAGTAAAGCTATAAATGAAACTAGGTCTAGAAAGTGAACTTGCAAGTTAAGCAAAGTTCATATGATCAGGTTCCATGAACTGGGAACTTGTTTGGATTCTGTTTTGCATGCACTTGGCACATTCTACTTACCCATCCCTTGAATGGGAAGATAAAACCTTAAACAACATCAAGTTGCAACAATGGCTCAAGAGTTGGATGGTGAATGAAAATGAACAGACTTTCTTTTTGCATAATGGAATCTACTCTATCTATCTATCCAAGATAAAGCTCTCTTCTTTTTTTTTTATCTTCAGATGACTAAAGCCAGGCTAGTTCTGGTGGAGGGAGAAAGATTGATAGATTGGTTTCTTTCCTAGCTAGATTTGCCAGCTTCCTGCGTCGGCCCGCCGCAGTCCAATGTTCATGTTAACTGTCATTACAGAACATTCCCTTTTCCACCTTTTTCCAGGTGCTGATAACAATAATGGCAATACAATAGAGACCAATGAAAAGGGCAGAGAGATATTATTGAGAACCGCCGTCAATAACTGTTTCTTGACATGGTATTAGAGATTTTTAAAATCGTGAGGTCGATCCCAATGAGTTTCGAGAGGAGACTACTGAACTCGAACCTGGATGAATTCAACACCTAAATCATCTCGAAGAGAACCTTTAATACGAGAACTGTCAGGCATGTTTGATTCCCCACTGGGATGCCAAAAGAGAGAATCAAATGAGCACATTGTGTCCGTTTACTACTGTTTTACTACTAGATCATAACTGCATATGCATAATAATGACTGAAAAAAGCTGAGAGAGGGTTGATAGTGGGATGAACATATGAATCTATTGATTTTCAATGAATTATTGGCAAGTGAAAGAAGAAAGGAAGGAAGGCAGGCTTTGGAGGAGTAGAGAATTTGCCCAATGGATGTGCATTATAAGGTATTGATTCCCACCACACCACTCTTTTTTCACTGCACTATGTGTAACCTCAACTGGATACAACCTTCCTCCTTAAGGAGAAGGGTTTAACTCCCACAAGGTGCAGGCATTTAGATCTCACTCAAACAGATACTTCTACTTCTATGATTGTGAAGTTTCAAAGTTTTCCTAAAACTTAAGTCATCTTGGATTGGTTGACACGTTCCACCTTCGAGAATCGTGCCTGACTATCTCGTCCATGTGGCATCCAAGTCAGCATTTGAGAGATCGATGAACGGATAAGGGAGAACCTCTTTAGGATAGAATCAAAACTCAACTAAATGTTTCTTCGCTAACACAATTTGTTTTTAAACGTTCTTTCAATTTAAAACATACTTGATGAGGTTTACGTTATAACCAATCAAAAGCACAATCTTTTAGTTTTTGAATAATATGATACTATGTCCCGATTTTTCATAAATATGTTAATATTTTTTATTCACTTATCAATAGTCACTAGAACTTCATAAATGAGTCTTACACCATTAGTCCATTACACAACTCTATTAATTAAAGATTCATATCCCAAGTTGTAAACTTTTTGTCTCTTTCCCCTCATTTTCTAAGACAATTGCATGCAACTGACCATATTTACTTCTATCTCTCAACCCTTATTTATTGATATATGGAAACATGCATTACCATTGCCTCATAATATGAATCAAGCATGGTCAACAAAAAAGTTAAAAGAACAAGGTTAACCATCAATGTATCTCAACTTAAAGGTGCCAAAAAGGGTTTATAATATTAGGGATTGACATATTCCCTTTCTATTATACAATGGTCCCATAAGATTTGGAAAGGTGGGTGCAAAACTAGTATATATAGGACTCCAAACTCAACCAACCAAAATTCATTCACCTTACATTTGCAAGCTCTCCTCTCCAAACATAGAACTCACTAAGCTACTAAACAACTAGTTTTCCCTTTTCCTAACTAATCCCTATTCTTTCAAATTCTTCCATTCAAGCCCCTTGATTCTTCCCTAGAACAAGAAAAGAAGAAGAAGAACAGCAAGATGAGCTGGACAGGAGGTGACTGGATGTGTGCAGCATGCCAACACCAGAACTTCAAGAAGAGGGAAGGCTGCCAGAGATGTGGCTACCCGAAATACGGAGGGCCTGACGTGGCAACATACCTGTACAACAGGACAGAGGTGCTGGCAGGGGACTGGTATTGCATTGGCATGAACTGTGGTGCACACAACTATGCCAGCAGGACCAGCTGCTTCCGATGTGGCTCGATTAAGAACGACTATGGCGCTGCTGCTGCTGCTGCTTATGGGTCCGATCCCAATGCCCCTCCTGGATGGAAGTCTGGTGATTGGATCTGTGCCAGGTCAGTTTCTTGTTGTCTAAGTAACTTCTTGCAATGCCATTCTGTTAGGAATTGGGAGTTCAGAATAATGTTACCCTAAAATGGAAAGTTGAAATCTAACATGGGTATGGTTTTGTGTGTTACAGGATGGGTTGTGGAGCACATAATTTTGCTAGCAGGGGAGAGTGCTTCAAATGCAGGACACCAAGGGAATATGGTATGTGCAAATACTTAAACCATTATAAGTTCCCTTGTACTTCTTCAACTGAAGATGAAACCACTCTTATAGTTATCTCACGTTAATGGAGTTAGTCTAACTCAAATGTTCCATTTCACTTCCTGTGGTTTGCAGGTGGTGCAATGTAACCAGCAGAGGAACTTAGATGTCTAAAAGCTTAACACCAGCGCAACAACTTCTTTTGGTCTCTTTTCTTCCTCTTCATTTTGAAGGTTAATAAGCAGTTTTAGGGTTAGGTTTTTGTTTATGTTAAGCTCTTCTGGGGAAGGGTTCTTCTTCCTGTCTTTGTAACTCTTGTGATGTAGTGGGTGCATGGAGGGTAATGTACTTACTGACTGTTACAGAAAAGAGAAGGAAAATAAAATTCTCATTTGCTTCCCCATTTTCCTCTCATTTCCTATTCTGCCACTTCCCCATTGCCAAAATGATGTATTCCCCATCTCTTGGTTCATATGAGGAGGGTCCAAAGGAATGTAAGTGAAGGACAGGGTAGTGGCACCCAAAGGTGATGAGATGGAACTGATAAATCATGCATGGGTTCTTGATCATCCACATTGGACCACCATTGGACAATGTCAGAGAGCTCATCTGAGTCCAATCCCAGAAATATACATGAACATTCTAAGGGAATTAGATAAATCTGTGCGGATTTGGACCAAATGGACAATATTGTACTGATAGAACTATTCGGTTACAACAAGCGATATCATAGCCTGGTTCGGATTCGATTAAGGGTGGTGGACGTCGATTCTGTGGACCCTCATTCGGTGACCTCAGGATTTGAGATCTTCCTATGGTGGATCAGTGGATGTCTGTGTCTGTCTGGTAGATCAAAATAATTGCTTATATAAGTGTCCACCAAGCTTATTAGTACAAGACCTTTTAGAAAGAAAATCCAAAAATAAATCCATGCGTATTTAGCCAAAAACGAACAATATCATAAGAAGCACTCGACACAACAATATGGATTGAGGAGTTAGCTTCAAAGAGAGGGTGGACAGGTTCTGAGACAATATGTTTGAGGGCAATAATTTAGGCACCCTTTAGGCATCAAATCTACAGGGAGGGACTCATTTTTTATACACAAGGCTCACACCTCAATAATTGTAAGTAGATAAAGAACTGGATGCTTGTCAATTGCTACTTTCCATTTGCCTTTCATTATCATGGGCCTAGGGAGTTCTTATTCCAGTTAGTATTGCTTACTAAAATTTTCGATCGAATTCACGACCAAAAGATTGGTCTAGTGATAAGTATCTTTCTTATGAAAGAAATTTTTCGTTCGAGCTCCCTTGTCACATGTTCTAACAGAGGACCCAACTCATTAGTACAGACAGAAACAAATAGTGACCGCAGTAACTCATTACTAATTAGTCGAACTAGTATTGTCTTGGTGTCGAATATTCTTTTTGGCTCTCCTCTTTTGGTGGATTGCTTGATGAGTAACTTCATATGGTCCTTATTTACACACCAATGTTCAAACCAGTCAAACACATAACATTTCGTTGGTGTCATCTCCTTGGTTGGTTGGCCTCCATTTTGGTGGTTTCCATATGCCTTCTCTTGCAAGTTACCTTTCATTGGGCTCAAGAAGTGGGTAAAAAAAAATAAATTCTGGCCCATATTAACTCCAATTCACACAAGAGTTTTAATGGGCCCGGCCCAACCCACAACAAGGTGGCAATGCGTCGTCCAAGTCAACTTTGCAAACAGAAAGCCAGAGAGAAAGAAGGACAGCATCGGGGAAATAAATACAAATACATACACGTGTAAAGCGCGGGCCAGTCTGTCGTACACTCTGGCGAATCCAACAGATGTCTGCCACGTGGAGGTACAGGGATGAAAATTTCCCCGTTCCGTTACAAATTTACAATTTTCAAGGGTTTTGGAGGATTTTCTTTTTATTTTTTTTCTTTAATTCTAGGGCTTTAGGGTTTGGAGAACAGTTACGCCCTTTCTCCTACCTTTTCCCCTTTTACTCACTGCCTCCTCCATTGCGACTTCCTCCCTGAAGCAAGGCCTCGGTTTAAAAAAGGATTAAACCCTTCACTTTCTTTTTAATCTTTTACCCAGTACGTTGCTCCTCCTCTGAATTTGGTGTTTTCTTCGCCAATATTTTTTGGCGGCTAGGGTTTTTGACTCTTCGCACATTCAGACCTTAACACATACTGTGTATATATAGAGAAAGAGACTCATATATATATACACTCATTGATAGATTCATCCTAAAATTTTGATCCAGCCCCTGTTTCGAGATTGAATTCAACTCAAGTCGTGATTTTCCCCATTGGGTTTGCTTTGATTCTTTGTTCTTGGCCGAAATTCCTATCTGGGTAACCCCTCCAGGTTCTAAAGCCTTCATCTTTTGATCAGTGTCTCAAGTAAGTCCTTGTTATATATGCTTCTTTATGAATTCAGATCACCGTGTTGATTTTTCTTCCAACTGGGGAAGATTTTTTCGGGATGAAAGATTCTAGCTTCTTGAGTGATCGTTGGTTAATTGTCAGCTTAATGGTGTTAATCTGTGTGTTTTGTGTTGAATTAGTCTTGATGAAGATTACTGATAGTGATTACTTGTGTTTTTTTTATTCATTGATAGGAGTTGCTTGAGAAATTGACACCAGCAGAATGAGTTACTCGGATTCTCAGCCTCATTTCTCACAGCAATCGTTTCAATCAGGTAGTGATGCAATTGGCATCTGGCCTCAATTCTCAATGAGCGGCAATGAACAATTTGATCCGTCTTCGCCCTTTGAGCAACTGCAACAACACCAACCTCCTTACAAGAGGGCCAAGAATTCGTCTGATGATGACAACAGCCAGCCTGCGAGTTCAAGGATGCCGATGCCACCACCGAGCAACCTTCCTATCAACCGAGGGACGACTAACATCTTCTTCAAGACTAGAATGTGCGCTAAGTTTAAGACTGGGACATGTAGGAATGGAGAGAATTGCAATTTTGCTCATGGGATGCAGGATTTGAGGCAGCCCCCTCCCAATTGGCAAGAGCTAGTTGGTGTTAGTGCTGGTGGTGGTGGACGGGTTGAAGAGGATAATAGTAGGCAGCCGCCGGTGGTGAATTGGGAGGATGATCAGAGGATAATTCTTAAGATGAAATTGTGTAAGAAGTTTTGTAATGGGGAGGAGTGTCCGTATGGGGATAGGTGCAATTTCCTGCACGAGGAGCCTGCGAAGTTTAGGAGTGATGCAGGCGGGAGGTTTAGGGAGAGTGCTGCAATAAGCATTGGGACTACTGGGATGCCTACCATGAATGGAAGTGGTGGTGGTGGATATGCTCTGCCTGAAGCTGTTAGGCCTGCTCAGAATGCTGCTTCTGGTTCAGATGCGCTTAGGGCCATGATGATGAAGCCTGTGTACTGGAAGACCAAATTGTGCTCTAAATTTGAGATCACAGGTCATTGCCCCTTTGGTGAGAAATGCCACTTTGCTCATGGACTAGCAGGTATTCAGTTTAGTTTATTGATTGATGTCTTAATCGTAATATTCTAGCAGTTTCATTGTTATTTATTCTAAATTTGTTACTTGTGTCAACAGCCTATTCATTTTGCATGTTAACAGTAGTGTTAACGATATATTAGTTCAATTGTATGCTATTGCAAATTTCATTGTACCAAACACACCCAACCAGACGACTTGTCTGTCAATTTGGAATCTAAGTGGCTAGAGAATGGTGTTTAATAGTCTTGCATGATTTTGGAGCTGAACCAAACTAAAGGCTTCCTACATTCTAATCTCTCAAGAACATGTTTACTTTTCTGAAGAAAGGACATCCACATAATGAACTGAACCAGTACTAGTGTACCACTATAGCCATACATGCTCTAGCTCAGATTCTTTTCAGTACTAGAAAATCTCATGTCTTCGCTTTCCAAATCAAATATGGAAGGACATTTGAGTCTCACCTCTGATTCTGTTTGTTGACAACTTGAGGGGGATGATTTGATCGTTACATTTAGTTGATACTGCGACCTTTGTGTTGAAAGCAGAATTACAAGCTCATGGCGGACGGCTAGATGGGGAACCAGTGAATCAGGGCTCCATTTTAACAAAGCAGTCGTCTGTTCTTGGCAACGGCAATCCATCCCCAAGCATTGCAGCAAGCATGGCTAACTCTGTTGAAGACTCGCAGGGTAGGAAGAAGTGCCTGCTCAAGTGGAAAGACCCAAAGAAGCTCAACAACATTTATGGTGACTGGCTCGAGGATCAGCCATTAATACTGAACTTGACAAACGTGGAGGGCTGAGAGCGCTTCTGATTTGCTTCGTCGTGAGATTCTTTTGATGATTTGATTTGCTTGCATTGCCTGCAATTTTTTATTGAAGATTTTGGTTCAGTAGCATACTTAGAGGTTCTTTCTACCAATGGCCATAGGGAAGAGTTGTTTTAGTTTTTTTCCGGCTAGATTAGAACTTCTCTTTTCCTTTCTGTTCAAATCGAAGAGGAGGAAAGAAGAAGGAGAAGAAGAGGGATTGCATTGATTCCTTTGTTTGTTTGTTCTCTAGCTATATTCGTTTGATGTTATGCTGATGCAGGAATTTGCAGTCGGCCCCTTTGCAAGGAAAGGGTTGAAATAGGCGTTTCCATATTTTTCTTGTTTGGTCTCCCTCATTGTTTTTCACTTTTCAGTTTTCACATATAGACTTTGCAAAAACTGGCAATTTTTGTAATTTGTCTTGTAATTTCTTTGCAAGACATTTCAGAATGCAAACGCAGTGAAAAAACTTATGTGGTGCCTGAACTTTGTCCATGATATCTTGTGCATTGTAAGTTCATGCTGCTATGCACTACAGAAAGACTTTTAGACTTGGTCATGAATCATGATTGTAGCTTAATCGATCTTATGACTTCTTAACTTAATTGTATGTATGACAGCTCCTATTGATCAATTAAATTCGGTGTCACATTAACTATTGAGTTTAATGGAGAACTTCGTGAGTTGTCCTAAGAGCCATATTGGTCATTTTCAGTATTTGCTTAGCTTTAAATGTTCGGGTCAGTATGGCTGAAAGAGTTGAATTTTGGGTATGGAGAAGGAGAAGTCGACGAGGAAGGCATGGAAGTTTTGGATGAGGAGGACGGAGACAGGGACAGATGTCGGCAACCTACCCGCGGGCCGCGGCTCGCCTTTCCTGAGTCACCACCATAGCCAAACAAAGCTCCAACCTTTTTCGTCCACATTCAACCCGAAACCCAGCTAATGACACAGCAATTTATAATCGAGCCATGCTCCTTTCCCTATTCCCTTCTTCTTCTTCTCCACCCAACTGTGCTTTCATTTCCTCTCTTCTTCTGAACCCCCGACGAACTTCCCCTGCTTCTCCCTTCTTTCTCAGAGCAGCCACAACCAGAGCTATCTCCTTGTGCTTTACAACCACCAGCACCACCATGTCCGTTAACTTGCAAACACACGCCTTCGCCGGCAACCCTCTGAGATCCACAATTCCCAAGCCCGGCGACCCGTTTTCCCCATCCTCCGCCCTCGAAACCCTCAAGAGCCGGCTCATGGAGAGTGCTAGTAGTAATCACAGCCAGTTGCTTTCTCCTAGTTTCCAGGTTCTGCCCTTCAGAAAGGGCAGGCCTCTGGCTTCTTCCGTCGATGGGGACGGTGCTTCGGGGCGGAATTGGCATCTGGGCTGGATTGGTCTTGCTGATTGCAGAAGGTTTCTGGCCAAGTCTGGTGTTGAATTGACCGCCGAGAGCTTGGTGTTTCTGGGTTTCATGCCTGATGAGGATGTGGTTTACTGGGCAATTGATGTTTCTAGCGAGAGTAGTTTGGTTCCTGAATTTGGCGGGAAGCGGCTCTGTTTTGTGGAGTTGAGGACTCTCATGGTGGCTGCTGATTGGACTGATGATCGAGTCATGGCGGATTTGGCCATTGCTGGTCATGTAAGTCTGTGTTTTTCCCCCCCCCCCCCCCCCCTGCAGTAATTTGCTTATTGTTGATGCTATGTGGTAAAGATGAAAGGATGATCTTGTGAATGTACTATCTTGGGTTATTTTAGTGACCAGTCTGCTGTGCCTGCCGATTTTTACAGACATATCTTGGCTGTTTGATTTTCTGTTGTTTAGGCAAGAGCATTGCTAGAATGGCATAAGCTAAGTCGTTTTTGTGGATCATGTGGAGCAAATACTGTCCCTGCCGAAGCTGGCAGAAGGAAACAGTGCTCCAATGAGACATGTAAGGCGAGGGTGTATCCTCGTATTGATCCGGTAATTTTCATGCTTCCATTGTCTTCCTGTGATTCTTAGTTCGCTTTGATTGGTGAGTGCATACCCTTCTAAGCCTTCTTGGCTGACTCTTATACAGGTTGTGATCATGTTGGTTATCGACAAAGAGAATGATCGAGTCCTTTTGAGCAGACAATCGAGATTTGTACCTCGAATGTGGAGTTGCTTAGCTGGGTTTATAGAGGTATGAGGGCAGAAGTTTGAAATTGTTCCCTTCGTGGGAATTGTAGTTCAGTTGCGTGACTTCTGTGTTTTGGGAATTCTTGTTCAGCCTGGAGAAAGCTTAGAGGAAGCTGTGAGGAGAGAAACTTTTGAAGAGGCTGGAATTGAAGTAGGAGAAGTTGTGTATCATAGCTCTCAGCCATGGCCTGGTATCTTTTCATCTGTTCTTTACATCATTGCTCGTTGATTGTATTATGATTGTGGAAAGATGGGAACTTTGTAGAAGGAAACAGGATTAGTTGCTTGTTTCTGAATCAGAACATAGAGAACTTGGCAACCTTTCATAAGTGCCCTTATTTCAAAACCAAGCATTGTTGAGACTTGAGAGTTCTATTTCCTACCATTGATTCGAATCTGTACGGATGCATAAAGTTTCTAACCTGCACTTCTCACCTCTCTTTTCTCTGTAGGCTGCTAATGTTTTATTGCTATTGTTGTTTCTTTTCAGTTGGCCCAAACAGCATGCCATGCCAACTGATGGTAGGTTTCTTTGCTTACGCAAAAACACTGGAAATCAATGTTGATAAAACAGAGTTAGAAGGTAACCAAAAACCATTTTTCGTGCCTCTTTGTTCAACCTTGCTCTTCCCTCATGAAAAGAAAGAAAGCTCACTGATGCATATGTAGATGGGATCTTTTTGGTTGGCAAATGGATGCATATATGTGTCTTTGAAATGAGAGTGATATTGAATTTTGCCATGTTGCTGTGTTGTGTAGATGCGAAATGGCTCAGTCGAGAAGACGTGCAGAAGGCACTGTCTTTAGCAGAGTACAAGAAAGCACAAACAACAGCAGCAGCCAAAGTAGAGCAGATGTGCAAGGGCGTCGAGAAAGGTCAGAGCTTGTCTGCAGATTTCAATGTAGAAAGCGGCGAACTCGCTCCTATGTTCTTCCCTGGCCCTTCCGCAATCGCTCATCACCTCATCTCTTCGTGGGTCCACGGCCAGACAACAATCGGCGGTGGTGGGAGACAAATCAGTACTTCTCTCTCAAATCTATAGCTCCTCTACTCATCATCCCCAGAAAACATCACCAAACCCCGGCTGTGTCTAGTGTATATTATAGCACCTCTCCAGTAATGCTTTGCAAAAGTGCAGAAAGTATCAACACCCCCTTTGTTTTTCGATTTGGGATGATGATGCTTTCTGGAACAACAACTTGAGTGTATTCGATTGATCAAGAAGTTGATTATCAGACTGTACCAACTGTGATCAACCAGTCGAATCAAAATGGTTTGTGTATGTTTATATGTTCATTCATATAGCAGGAGGAACCCCATTTTACTAGTAGCTAGAATGATCATCGGCGCGCATCTGCCCTTTCAATCTCGCCCAACTCAAGACTGCCCTTGCCAAGGCATCCACGGGTATCATACACTTCTTGAGAAGAGGATCCTTATCCGGCAAAATCCCTTGAATCTCATCAGAAGCAAGAATTACAATGTTCACTCCCCTCACCAGAAGTATCTGAATTGCTATTCTCAACAAGATCTGAGCTCCCTCCATGTCCCCCTTGCTCAATGCTTCAATCCCAGGTATCAAAATGTGATTCACTGTCGCCTTATCAGGCACCACAGCTTCAAACCCCTGGAAGAAAATTCAATATTTGTCACGATGCTGCAAAATTTCCTCCTATATACACCAAACCAGAAGAACTTTTACCTGTTTCTGCAACATCTCCTGGTAAAAACCAGCTTCAAGAACTGCATACGTGGCAAGCACACCAATCCTGACGGCAGTCCCGCCGACGATCGGCTTCAAATTAGCATCCCTCAGCTCGCCGGCGACACAGTTGCCGAAATGGAAAAAAGGCAGGGGACATCCTTCTGATATCTCACCGTACCAATGATGAGACACGTGGCATGGCATAACCAGGCAGTGAACTCCTGATTGCTCCAAGAACATCCTCTTTCCACGCAAGTTGTCGACGATCACCGGACTGCTACAATTGGGCCGCAGCCCAATCAATGTTGGATCGTAGCTGAGAAGGAACGGCGGGCAATCTTCGGATTCTCTCGAGCTCATCCAAGCTAGCTTTTCTAAGAAAGTGAGAGCAGAGTAAACAGAGACTCCGGCAATGATCCCCACTGTATTCTTCCGGTGACTCATTGGTAGGCGAAGAGCTTGATTCCTCGTCGCAGAGGATCCTGCGCCGGCGATTCTCCTCGAAAGAAGCGAACTTCTGGATTCCATGTCAGGCTGGAGAAACATTCTGCAGATCAGAAATTGTGAAGAACCCAGATTCTGGTACATCGCAAGATCCAACATTTCCTCCGAAATTTCGAAACCCGAATCAAACCCAGATCAGGAAATGGGAAATCCTGATCATGGGTTCTTGAGAGTTTGGTAACTGGTAAGCAAAAATTCTGCAAAGGTGAGAACTTTTTAAGACTTGAGAAGCGCCATTGGAGGAAAGTGGTGGTACGATTTTGGGGTCGAGCGGCAGGGGATTAATGATGTTGCCAACTATGCTTCTGGAATTTGCATTCGTAAACCAGACAGAATCATATGATGATAACGTTAATTAATGAAACCTGGCCATGTGAGGACAAAGAATCTAGTTTCCAACAGCTGTGGGTGAGGGATTGGGGTGTTTGGTATCTTTCGATTCATCACTGTCTCGCTGACAGGAAAGGGAAGATATGGAAGAGGTGATTGATTGATTGGGTGGGGGGAAAGGACAGAAGTGAACGGTGTCTATTGCCCAGTGGCTGGGAAATTTTGTCTTCCTCCATGTGAATGAATCTCTTTTGCACCCCATATCTGACAAAGATACCAAATTTGGAAACTGTAAAATATTCTATGTTATGCTCTTTCTTTAACACTCTGTTTGGGAAGAGGGGTAAATGGGAGGAGGGTGCAAATGTGAGGGGTAAACACAATTTCCAACACATTTGCACCTGTTTGGTTAATTTGGAACAGTAGGGGGGTGCAAAACGAGAGTGCAAATTTACTGTTTCGGCTTACCCCCCGATTGGGGTGCAAAGGAAGGAAGGAAGAGAGGGGGAGGGGGGAATTATGGAATTTTGTTTTTCTAATTGTGTTATATATAATTATATAATAATTAATATTATCAATTTCTTTTTTTTATAAATATCATTAATGTAAACATTATTCGGGGTTGACCATTTGACTCTGGAAACAAGTTTATAAATGTTCGTCAAGTCAAATCTAGATCTCTTGGTTGAATCGAATTTGCATTGAAAATTAGATATACAAGGTGTTTGTGGAAAAGATAGAGAGAAATTGTTTGGTTAACTCATTTTATTTGACTAAATAGTTAAAACTTACAAATTCGAACGTGTTTGACTAAGTTTGACCATTTAAGATTAAACTAGACACGAAAACCCTATATAGGATGACCAGTTAGGAGTTGAGCTTCGAATTTTGAGATCGCTCGATCAATGATTATTACAATTGTTATAATTAATTATTATTTGAGCATTATTATATAATAACTATTTTTAGTGAAGTATATTTATTATTATATAGTAATATTTATTTTATTATTTTATGATAATATTTATAATTTTAAAATCTATTTTATAATTTTAAAATCTATTTTATAATTTTAAAATCTATTTTAAAATAATATAATTACTTACTTTGCACTTTATTTGCACCCCCTACTTTTTCATCCAAACAACAATTTACCCCTCCACTTACACCCCCCAGCAATTTGCACCCCCCAGCAATTTGCCACTCAACTTGCACCCTCCTGCAATTTGCACCCTCCTGCAATTTGCACCCCCCTTGTTGACAAACAGAGCGTAACTGTGAACCTTTCATCCCAAGGTGATCAGTTTCTCCTCTTGTCTCTCACTGTTACTGCAGTCAGATACAAACCCAGATTTATATGGATAATCAGCAAATTCTTGGGAGAAAAACAGATAGAATCTTTGTCTAGATGTTTCTAATCAGTTGACTCCGAAGTTCGTATCCTTTTTGTGTATTTTTACGGCATATCATTTTGACTTTGAAACTACCTCAATCATTATGAATGTCTGGCAAACTCATAAGCGGAGTAATTTGGATTTGGCAATCTTATTGATGACTACCAATAGATTTGTGAGAGCTACAAAATCCCAAAGTGCAAAACCATCAGAGTGGTGGTGACTGGTGTGAGCTTGATCTTTTGTTATTTTCTCATGTTCCTTCATTTATCTTCTTGGAAATTACAATGATGCTTACTTGGAAGAAAACCTAGGATATCACTTATCAAATGATAGCAACATGGAACTTTGTCCTGGGGGACAGGTGGTGAGCTTTTGGGGTTAGGTTAACTACATACGCAATCTTTGAACTTCGGGATAACTAACAAATCAGTCACTTAACTTTGTCACGATGAAACAAACTCACTACTAAAATTCAGACTATCTAATTTATTCACACACCAATGTGCAAGTTCGCCTAAAGTAACTAAGGGAATGTTCAAATGAGATGCTCAATAGTTAATATTTTACACGAGGTAAACAATATTCAAGAGGTATATTTATTCGAAAATTGACTACACAGCTACCGTTTGACGAATTAGTGAAGATGAAACTCGAGCTACCGATTTGTTAGCTACAATAAAATTTTGGTGGTTATTGCTATAATAAACTTTGAATTATTTGCGACAACAACCCTTAATGCAATTTTTCCAACCAACATCAGCATCAAAATCAAATCAAATCAAATTTCCATTGAGCCAGAAAATTAACTCATATTGCAGAACTTGGTCCACGTGTGGATGTGCTATCTACTAGCTTGGCCCAATCAAAGCCGTAATTATCCAAAACCAAAACAATATTAAGGAATTGTTCCACTCAAAATTTAGTGGAACTTTTTAATTGGATGTGAATCTAAGGTATCTTTCATTCACAATCAATCGAGCTAGCTTTAGAAAGGTTTCTACCAAATGCATAATGCTTAGCAGTACGTAAGATCATTAGATCAACAACATAAATTATGAAATCCGAATTAAGAGTGAATCTTCTCAACTAGCTTAGTAATCCGCATAATATTTATTTTTAAATAGAGTTTTTAACTTGCAAACCTTTTCTAATAAAAACCCCAAGCTCCATATACTCCTTGAAATTTCAATAAAGCTGTCCAATTCATGACAACACGAGCTTTTTCATTAGTACTTTGGACTTAACGACAGTAAAATCACACTGGATGTTATATCGAAAAAGTTAACAATAAAGTATTTTATTTTGAAATCATAGTTCAACCGTTTCATACCACTTAAATCGATTAACAACTCAGACTCCAACAATAAGATTTTTTCCCCAGTCGGACCGGTGATACGTACGGTTTTGCAAACACAGGTTAAACTTTAAAGAAAAATCAAATTTGGCACTGGGCTGAGTTTGAAACCAAATCTGCGGCAAGAAGTGTCAAAGCCCAAATTGATCTTCAAGCGATACGGGCTGAAGCCCACCCAAACGGACCCAACAAAACGAGCACACGCTAATGCTCATGGACACGACCGCAGCTTATTATTATTTCGGAGAAGGCTCCGGACTCCGGAGTAGTAAAACGATTGCTCCAAGCCAGTGATTGCTTCACTCCACTCCCGTTCAGTTCTGCTTTATTCTCATTTCCGATCTTCCCATCACCAAGGAAAATGGCGGCCACGCTCTTCCGTCGGCTGGCGAGAGCCGCCGTCCCTACTGCTGCCTCTCCTGGCGGAGGATCAGGAGGAGGAGGAGGAGGCTATTCCCGGTCAATGTTCAGTAGGTTCGGTTTCCCCCTCGGCGCGATTGCGGCCGTTTCTGGAATCTCATACATCGGCAATGGCGACGCTTCTCCTTCGTTGACGCTTCATGGATTGGTGTGTATCTGTTATGATCGGAGCTATGAACTCGTTCATGCTTAAATTGGGAACCTGTAGTCGTTAATTTGTGGGATCAGGGTTTATTCGTAGGGTTTACAGTGAAAATGTTTTGCTGGAACTTGCTCTTTATCTTGCGGTCCATTTCCAGGCTGTGGTTTAGTCAGTTGGTGTTCTAAATCGGGAACTTATGTCTTCGCACTTAATGATAGGTTCACCTGGAGGAAGCGAAAGAAGAGGATGGTCCGAAAGTTGGTAAGCCTTTCTTCTCCTTCTTGTTTATTGTCATTGTAGGGTATGGTTTGATTAATGAGCAAGAGATGATCTGTAGTCAACTAATGAATAATGAGAGCTCACTGCGTAGATTTGATTGTTTTGTTTTTCTCGTTTTCAGCTCTCGATCCGAAGAAATGGACTGAATTCAAGCTTCAAGACACTGCAACTGTTAGTCACAATACTCATCTGTACAGGTATGCCCAATGGCCATTAGGCCAAATCAATTTCAATAATCCGCTGTTTCCAGAACATTGGAAGAGATCCAAAGCTGGCCAGAGCATTGAATTCAGTTCTTTGATAATGTGAATATGAAGAACGGATGCTGTCTGCAGTTAGAGTTTAGTTTGCTCGCTGTGGGTAGCTTTTGATCTCTATGCCTTACCGAATGGCAGGTTTACTTTTGATCCTTCTAAGGAGCTTGGTTTGCATGTTGCTTCGTGCCTCCTTACAAGGTAAATAGTGTGAAGTGTATGAAAGCCCTACACAGCATTCAACTACTGGATTTTGCATCATTTGGTGATAGGGATATGGTGTTTAGAACTTCGAAGTTCTACATCTGCAAACAATCAGTGTGTTGATGCTGATGCATTTATTTATCTTATTCAGGTATCCAGAGACGAGTGCTGATGGAAAAACTAAATATGTAATACGCCCGTAAGTGCCCCTGTTCGTTTCTTTTCTTTTCATCTTTCACCTGAATATTTTACTATAGATCTGGCTCTTATTTGCTATCCTTCTATCTTGTGAAATAGCATATTCCTTTTTTCGACTGTCTGAAGTTGGAATCTCTCTGCTTGTTGTTCAACTTGATACAATTACTAACTGAACTGATAGATGTTTTTGTATCGTATTATACATGTTCTTTCTTTAGAATATTGATTGCATTATTTTGCCACTAGAATTTCGTCTGTGCTTTTGGATTTGTATTTTAGTCCTATCTTTTGTTAAATGGTAGAGCCTATTCTATGTTCAGGTACACTCCCATATCAGATCCAGCTGTTAAGGGACACCTTGACCTATTAATCAAGGTATGTCTGGCCTCTATGAATTCATTTAAACGGTGATTAGCACTTGCGCTGGTTCTCATATTTCCAAAAATTGCTGCAGACTTATCCTGACGGGAAAATGAGTCAGTATCTGGCCAGCTTGAAGCCTGGTGATGTTATCGAGGTGAAAGGGTAGGTTATTCACAAATAACGACCATGATAGGGGAGGTTAAAAGTTTGCATCCACTTTACCGTCAATATTGTCTTGCTGCAGGCCAATTGGGAAAATCAGATACTCACCCAATATGAAGAAACACATTGGCATGGTAAGCTCTAATTTATGTTTGTAACCTTGGATCTGGTTGAGTAACAATATGTATAAACTCGTAGGGTTAATTCTTTGACATTTTCTTTTGAAATAATTTTCTTCAGTGAAATTTTTTGCAATCTTTCTGAGATCAGTAGCAATAGAAGCTGTTCTAACTTATGTGCTGCTCCATATGTATCTACTTGTGCTGTTCAGATTGCAGGCGGTACAGGAATTACACCAATGCTTCAAGTAATTGAGGAAATCCTAAAGAATCCAGATGACAACACCCAGGTAACATTTTAAATGTCGATATCTAAAGCTTTATTCTTGTACTTTCTTACTACGCTATGTGATTGAAGCTTTCTCAAAGATTACCTCGTCATTGCCCATCTCTTCTCTCTTTTTTTACATCAATATTTCTTAAAAGTATGTCCCTGTAAACATACTGTATGATGTTTAGAATTGATGATAACCCTTCTTCTTGACAGGTGTCACTACTTTATGCCAATGTCTCCCCCGATGACATATTGCTTAAACAGAAGCTCGACTACCTAGCTACTCACCACCCGAATTTGAAGGTACCATCCACTCCAAGTTACAACTTGCTCCCTGGATATTTAAAGGTTATGCACGTCAAACAGGCAATCAATTTGTACTTCTCCTAATTACTACCGTTCCAGATTTTCTACACTGTGGACAATCCAACCAAGAGCTGGAAGGGAGGCGTAGGTTACGTATCAAAAGACATGGCTCTGAAAGGCCTGCCTGCTCCTGGGGATGACACAATCATCCTAGTAAGTGCAACTTGCAATAGCATTGGATTTGCAGATAAACCGCCATTAATTTTCTCTTATCGCGGAATAACTTGTTGTCATCTGTCCATTTAGGTATGCGGCCCTCCTGGGATGATGAAGCAGATTTCAGGCGAGAAGGCGAAAGCGGAACAAGGAGAGGTACGGAAATAGTTCTTCCCTCATCTTCTGATTTCGTGATCTCGACCTCTTTAACTAGAATAGTATCCATGAACTTTTGCTTTGGTTTCCTTTTTTGTCCATCCAGTTGAGTGGCATCCTCAAAGAACTGGGATACACAGAGGAAATGGTGTACAAGTTCTAGTGATCTCAAGACTCTGCAGCTTACAAGATCCAAACAAAGCACCCACTGATCTGCAATCTCCATCTTGCTGACTTTCCAGCTCAGTATTCTTTCTATTGTTTTCTGCATATCTGAGAGGCAGAGATGGAAGTGGATAAAAGAACCACAAGTTTCACGAGGCGATAATAATTCTTGAGACGGTTTCTTCCGGTCCAAGAAACCGTAGAACTTCTGCTTAGGTCGATTAGGAGAGCGAGTGTCTTCTGGTTAGTTCTATACAAGCAGATTGGTAGTGATGGAGTAGCCCTATCAAAAATACTTCACGAAATTCCCCTGCTTATGCAATCTTAAGTATGTTTAATACCTCGTGAAAGAAGTATTACGTTAATTTGCTGTTTTATTTCGTTCATTTGTGCGAGATTTACAATTGAGAAAGTAAGTACTACCTGTGGACAGTGTGGTTTGGAAGAATAAGTGGCGAGTTCGGGGGAATTTGAACATGTTACCTAAGGGTTACGTTTACTATTATACGCCGTCGTTTTCACTCTTTCTCTGGGCAACGACGAGAGGATGCTGGATAAGACCTTTCTGAGCTGGCAAGTGCCGTACTGCCATGTCATCCAGTTGACTCGGCGAAGGGTCCCACCACCATCCCACGCACGCTTCCCTTTTTCTCGCCTATATATATTAAGGAAAATAAAAAAGAAGAGAAATTTCGTTTTGTCACTCTCCTCCATTGTCAAAAACCCTTCTTCATCACTCTCTGTTTCCCTCTGCTCGCTCCCTGGTTTCTCACTCTCCGAACGCGAATGGAGGAATCTCCACCGCCGACCGCCGCCGATTTCCTCCCGCTTCTCCTCTCTCCTCTGAAGCCCAACATTAAGGTTTTTTTCCTCCCCTGCACTTTCTTCTTCCTTCGTTCCCCGAAACCGGTTTAGGTTCTTAAATCATCTCGGCGCCTCAATACTCTTTGCAGGTGGCTGATTGGGAGCACCGTCGCCGGAGCTCTGAGATTCCGGACCTCAATCTCGATTATGTCCTCCGTCGGGAACCGACCTCCGATTCCAACCGCCCTGTAACCGTAAGTAAGCTCGCGTTTTCGTGAACTTCTATAACACCCTAGCACAATCGTGGATTGAACTCCAATTGGCTTTTCTGCGATGCAATTTTGCTTCTGAATTCAGTCCTTGGAGAAAGAATCGAGTGCTGGGAATCAAGCTCCGAAGTCAGAACAAATCTCGCTGCTAGACCGGCTTGCTCTGACCGCACCCGTGCCCTGCTACTTCTTCAGGTACGGGCTCTGCACCAAAGGCGATGAATGCTCCTTCTCCCATGGCGCCGCCCCCACCACTACTGATCATGTCAGACCACCTCCGCCGCCGCCGCAACCTCGCCAGCTTAGCAACAACTCATCCTTGCCCAACGACAACAGGAAAAGTACCACCCTCGAGGTATCTGCCAATGCCTATTCTAGTGCCGATCACCAGCAGCAACCAACCGGGAGAGGTAAGGATGAGACCACGGTGGAGGAGAATGTGGTGGAGGAGAGGAGCTCGTTGAGGATGTTCAAGGAGAGACTGCTGGCTCGTCCATTGTCGTCCGGAGGGAAAGGGTTTTTCGATCTTCGGGAGCAATTGAGGAAGCGGAAGGCTGGAGATTTCAAAGGGCCGAAGAGCCTTGCTCAGATCAGAGAAGAGAAGAGAAGAAGGGCAGAGGAGCAAAATGGTCAAGGCCAAAATGAGGATGAAGTGAGTTGTGTGGACTGTGGAGTAGCGTAGTACATGGTAGCCATTACAGGATTTTGAGGATAGCTTAATCATGGTAAAGTTTTGCAGTTTACTACTGTAGATGACAGAATGAACTTGCTCCTTGGCAATAGGGAAGAGAAGTAGGAAAACATTAACACCATAGCAATTAGCAACTCCTTTGTTTTGTGAGGTTTTAGGTTGCCTCATCACCTAATCTCTTGGAGAGCTGATCTTGTCAAGTTTTTGGAATACTGTTCAGAAATTTTAGTTTGTTTCTTTCTTTTTGAATCAAGTTTAACTCAAAGACCTTTAGTTTATCATTTCAATACGACTCGACTTAATTAAATAAAATCGAAACATGATAAAGGAGTGATGTGGTTTGTTGACTAGTGTTAAGTTATGTCGTTGAAAATATTAAAAGGCTGATTGTTTGTTATATTTCCATACAATCCGATTATGGTGCTCACAACCCATCTGTAAGAACGTACTCACATGACTTGTTATTATTAGATCGAGTGATAGATATTTTGTGTCCATAGCATGAACCCGAACTGCTAAACGCTCGATACAACAACAATCAACATCTATGCACACGATTTTCACATTTTGGGTTGTGAAGAATATAGCAAAATTTATTCTCGTTCATTTGATTTGAGTATTTGACTCAAACTGAGCTATATGTTGATTAGGTTGAAGAAAAAGGACAAACTACAAAAAAACCCAAAGGCCAAATCCAATCTTTTCTAACCTATGACCACAAAAAAAGTCGAATAAATAGCCCAAAGAAAATCCACACGGGAGGCCCCAAAAAGCTTCAGGCTAAAAGCCCAGCAATATCTCTCCCTCCATCTCTTTCCTCCTTTCTCTCTCTCTCTCTCTCTCTCTCTCTATATCTGTCGCTGCGCTCTACACTAGAAGAGAGCTCCAGCGGCGAAAGGCAGGAGAAAAGGGGCGACGCTGCAGAACTCTCTCGCCGCCGCCGCTGCTCCGTCCCTTTTCCCCCCCTCCTTTGAAATTGAAAGGGAAGAAAAACCAGCAAGGAAGTATGGAGGAGGAATTGCAGAAGCGAAACACCGATTGCGTGTACTTCCTCGCTTCTCCCCTCACTTGCAAGAAGGTTTGTTCTTCGATCTTTCCCCACCGCTCGACTCCAACCTGCTACTACCAGTGCTTCTCGCCAATCTTCATTCTCCTTATGGAATTCCTTCCCCCGCTGCGGAAATGCGTTCTTTCGGAGTTTCTAATTCGTGCTAATGAAATGCGGTCGTTCTTGCTGTCCGAAGGGGGTTTAGTTAGATTTCTTATTAGGGTTTCTGCTTTTGCTTCTGGGATCTGTGGCGGGTTAGCTTTGTCGCGAATCCGTGGTTTTTTATGTTGCTGTAGCCGGTAGTTGCCTTTTGGCGGGTAGTTAGGTTACCCACCTTGCTCTGTGGAGAAACTGGGAATTTGGGTTTCTTGGTGTTACCTATAATGCTCGAGTCATCAACACTGAATTTCTATATTTTCAGCTGCTTGGGGAAGATTCTTTATGCAATTAGGTTTCGAGTAATGGATACTCGCTCTTATGTAATCATGTGATGGCTAACTTGATTCTTTTTCAGGGAGCTGAATGTGAGTACCGGCACAGTGAGATGGCAAGGCTCAACCCTAGGGATTGTTGGTACTGGTTGTCTGGGACCTGTCTTAATCCAACCTGCGCCTTCAGACATCCTGTAAGCAGTTCTTTCTTCCAACTTACTGTGGGAGTTGCTTCTAACTCGATATGCTTGCACCTCTAAGTTGGCTTACTTGTGCTAATTGATTCTTGAATTCGTAATCGCAAGTGAACTGTGTTAGTTTTTAATGAATTCACATTCATGGTTCCAATGGTTTTTGTGATGAGGGTTTGCTTACTGTCCGAGTCACATCCTTGTAATCAAGCGTGCTCTGTAAATAACATATTTCGCCCTTTTTTGTTTGTTTCGTAGTGAATGTTTCACCTATTTACAGTATTGGATTTAGTTTTTGGTTATTGTAGTTGACATCTTTGATGAATATTGAATACCTTTAGGTAGTTTTTTATTTAGTGTCTCGATGAGGATTTCTTATTGTGCTGATGAGCAGCTTGCTAAGTAACCATGGTTTCTGCCTTCTTTTTCCTTGTTTTCCTTCCTCATGTCTGCATTTTCCGTACTTGACTACTGGGCCTGTAGTTAGTCACTGCCTCTCATTTCCTATGCTAGGATGATCAGAAAACATGAATTTAATCCTGGTTGTGTCTCCTGAAAACTTGTTAGGAAGCTAATTATATTAGTTAATTTCTGCAAAGTATCAGTAATCTTCGATCCTACTGGTTTTTTCATGCTTGTTGTTACTTCTATGGCTGAATGATAATGTGCTCTCTGGGTTTCATCGTAGGCTTCAGTCGAAGCTTTTTCTAGCACTTTATAAACAAAACTGGCAGAAAGTGGCGTACCTGTTTTCTGGGTTCCATAACACTTCATTTTAGGTAGTTTTCAAGAAATTTTTGCTATTTTTTGTTCTAACTTACATTCTTAATTAAGAATGTTGGTACTTCTGTCTGGATCTCTTTTCCTCCAACTGCTTCTTGCCTGGGCCATGCAGGCGAGCATGTATTCTTGATTTGCTGCTGCAGTCAATGATAGTAACACCTATTTTGGAAGCCAGTGCCTGTATGACTGGAAGTCGAACGCTTCTGTTTGCCATCCATGAGCACAAACCTTAGTTATTTGGTAGTTTGATAACTTGTTTGCTTGCGTACAAAAGCTACCAACCTCTACATATAACTGACCATGCTTCTATTCCTGTCCGAATGAGGTTAAAAGATGTACATCACAAACGATAGTGTAGATTGATTTTTTTCCTCCCAGAAGTCTCAAAATTTCCCAGATACCCAAAACTGAGGGGACATAGCATTTTGTTTCTTTTCCACCTACTTTTTGTCTATTCCATTATGTGTTTGGAATCTCCAATGAGTTATAGGATGTATATGTAGATTTTGACCACTCAATTTGATTCTGTTTTTCAACTTCATATTCATCTGATAATATCATCATCTCAACTGTCAACAGCCTCTAGAAAAGCCAGCTGAAGCTTCTTCAGAATCCGGTCCAGCTTCAGGTCAGCCTCCTCAACCGTCAAACAAGACCTCTGTACCTTGTTACTTCCACTTCCAAGGCTACTGCGGCAAAGGCGAGAAATGCACATTTTCCCATGCTCCTGATGTCAGCACTGTCCCCACTGCAAAGACTCTGAAGCAACCACATCCCACCAACAACTTGGCTGTTCATCCTGCCGACAGCAATAACAAGACTCTGTCGGGAACTAAAACGGTATCTGTCCCGACCTCCAAGATGAAGACAAGTCTTCCTCAAACAACATCTCAGAAACCATCTGTCCCTAAAGATGTGGTACAAAAGAGTTTCTCTCTTCAAATTGAGACACCCCAAGTTGATCCAGCTGTTGTTCTTGAGTCTTTTGATACCGTCTTGCCATCAGAAAGTTACAACGAGGCTGGGTCATACATGGATGCTGCTGATCAGAACTCAGAAGATCATATTGACGGCCGCGTAGAACCAGAGGAACGGTGGGAATCATCTCCCGGTTTCGATGTTCTGGTAGATAATGATGAAGAGGAAGATCAAAATCTATGCTACAAGGATGAGCAAGAGTACATGGTGTCCCTCAGCAGGGAAGAACAGAGAGAGCTCGATAGGAATCATCCATTTATGGAGTATGAGTTTGAAGAACGGCAAGTCGGGTATGAGAGGCGATTGGGATTCCGTGAGAGTCAAGACGTGGATCTCCGGGACCACCTGAGGAAACGCCAGGCCATAGACAATGGCGAGCCACCGTTGGAGAGATTGATGAGAAGGCGGCACCATGAAGAATCACTTCCGCGGAGGCACAGGAGCCATGAAAGACCGTACGAGCACGGACTGAGTGAAAGGCTACGTGGGAGATTGGCATCTGAGGTCGGAAGAAGGAACGACAGTGATTATGGATTACATTCAAGGCACTCTCCATATGATAGGCCACCGAGGCTACATCACAGGGAAAGAAGGGGAGCACCGAGAAGGCAGCTGCCACCTTTTGTACAGTCCGAGAGGGCTTCTGTACCGTCAGAGGCCAGGAGGAAGCCAGTTCGAAGGGAGAGGTCAGTTGAGGTATCTGGCGAATTTTCTGGGCCAAAGAGCCTTGCTCAGATAAGAGAAGAGAAGAAAAGGGTTGTTGAGAGAAACGGGTATCACAACGAGGACAGAGATGACGATGATATGGGTGTAATGGAGTCTGCAAATTTCGATGGACCGAAGCCTCTGAATGAGATTCTGAAGGAAAAGAAGAAGCTGATTTCTGTTGTAGAGTACGCCAACGGTAGCAGCAACTGAGGTGAAGGAAAGTTTGTGGGGTGTTCGATAATTTTTGTAGGGTAATGATGATGAAGAATGAGAATTTGAGTTGTAGTGTATTTTGTCTTCTGGGAGAGGGTCTCTTTTTTTGTTTTTTTTGTTTTGTAACACAGTTCCTCAACCTTGACTACTGATTTCTGTGTGTCGAGCTTCAGCTGCTGCTGCTGCTGCTGCTGCCATGGCTTAGTAGTGAAAACCATGCAGGGGTTTTGCCATTGGTGGCCTTTGTATTGAGAATTATGTTAGGCTCTTTGCCCTCATGGTTTCTTTGTTTTCTCTTTTGTAGGATACTGATTTTAGTGTTCTCCATGTGAAGTGTTGGAACAAGGATTGACACAACCCACTGATAAGGTTGCACATTTTTGGGCCATCATTTGGATCTGCAGCAAAGATTTCAGATATGGTCGACATTAAATAGGGACAAAGGTGGGATTGTTTTTATGGGAACTGGTTGGGCAATATAGCAGCTTTACCAGCTTCAGCTTTCGCTTTCATGAGAGTTAGATATGAAATCTCTCTCGTCTCTGCATTTTGCATTGTAAATCATGATCATTCTGTCCTAATTAGTTGAAAGTTAGGTTTTAGGTGCATACTGTTTTCTCTAAAAGGACGCTTAATTAATTATTGGAACACTGTTGAAAGCAACATGGGGTTCGACTTAGAACATCAGTATCCATTTCGAAGATAGAATTTCGTCACGAAAGTTATGGTCCCTTTCGTGACCAAAACCAGTACTTGTGTCGATGGATGATCGATGGTCGATCTTCTGATCAGTGACGGAGCCATGTTATGGTCCCTTCGACTTCGAGATATGATTACAACAATGGTAGGGAAGGAGTGATTCCTGGTAGAGAAAGCAAGCACATTTATTGAACCCAGTTTGAGAAGTCGTTGTTCATTTGCTTTCAAGGGTGCCAAGAAGATAAGGAAGAAAGTAATGGCTGTTGCCCAAGGGCCAAAGATTCAATAAGGACCAGTCCAATTAATTCCAACCAAGTAGAAGATAGACAAGTAAATGAAATCAACCAAAACGTCAATTCTGTAACCCAATTAGTTTAGTTATTATTATTATTTGTCCTGCATAATTATTTATATTCTATTAAACCCATATATAATAAAGACGTTAAAGATTATTATTATACAATAAAAAATAAGACCAGCCGGCATTTCATTTGTTATAATTATTATTTCATTGTCCAAAACAAGGTTGCATTATTAGCACATAGTGACAAGAAAGCATCTGTTTTTGTTTCATCCAAATTCACAAACAGATTGACTGGTCGATACTATGTATCCGCGACTGTATTATGGTTGAAGAAACACGAAACCAACCAGAGGTATAAATTGCTAGCGAAATTGAGAGTGGAAAAACAGATGGCAACATAAAAATCATCAGGTTTTTTTTTTTTTTTTTTTTTTTTTTGTGTTGGAGGGAGTTCTGATGGTGGTTTACTACTCTTACCAGTTACCACGATGGTTTCTAATAAGTTGTTGCAACTTTTCAAGAGGCACTAATTTCTCATATTATTGTAGCAAATTCGTCTATTATTTCTTTTAAAAAAACAAAAGATAATTATATTGATTGATATATAGAGAAATCATAAATTACACTCTGGAACTAATCCATGAAAGAAATCATACAATCGACATGAAGTTGGAGGCAAAGAAAGGGTATTTCGAGCCACAAGATGGGTTATCATATTCCTATTGTTAATCCGACCTACAAATCGAACATGAAAACCACTATTCAGGGCCATCATACGCAGAATTTCCTCAATAATAGCCCCAACACGGGTGTCTCGCGCGTCCTTGGCATTACCGTCAATTATCCTCTCAAATGAAGAGATGGAGAAGGAATGAGACTGATGAAAGAACGTAAGTTCGTAATCGAAACTGATTGGGATGGGTTAACTCGTACAAACATAATCATGAGTTTTCATGATTTCCTATTAAGGCTCATACTTAATCCATTACGTTCGATCATATAAAAAATATTGCTCTCCTAAATCAAATGAGGAACATTTTGAAAGATATACATTTGAAGATTTGAAATGTCTGCGCTCTCTCTAGATATTTGAAAATGACTCAAATGAAGCATTGTAAACCAAAAACATCTCATTTCCCCATTCTCAAACGAAATTGTTATGCAAAATGTCTCGTTTTTTAGACACTTAACCACAAATATGATATCGAAATAACTCATCCAAAGAACCGAATAATTTTATTTCCTATTTAAGAAGGGTAAAATAAGGGCAATTAAGATACTTTCCAGTTACCAAACAGGTAAATCTACCTTCTTCCATCTTCAGAGTTCAATCAATTAATGGAATCTGTTGGGATTTTTTACTGCCCAAATAATTTGGCAGTTACCACAGCTAGAGAAGGAGATGAGAGTCCAACTTGGCGACCACATTTTTCCTACTTTCTCACTTGACACAGAATTTTCCAGACCAGTTCAATTATATTTTTTTTTTCCATCGTTTTAATAAATTATTTATTTAGCATTTTATAGATTTTAAATTTTCCTTTCCCCGTATTATATAAACTCACCGAATTCATAGAAATGGAAGTCTTCCCTTTCAGAAAGAGAGAAGAGAGAGAAAACCGAAGACCAGAAACAGAGCAAGAAGAAGAAGAAGGAAGAAATGGAGCTGGGCGGGCTTCAGAGGTCCGCGACGTCGTATCGCCGCCAGGGATCCTCCGGCCTTGTGTGGGACGACAAGCTCATCGCCGAATTCAGCCGCCAGGCCGACGCCGAAAGGGCTGAAAGGGCCGCCGCGGCCGCCGCCGCCGGCGGCGGAGATCCGTCGTCCTCCCCCGATGCTATCACCGACACCACGAACCTCCGGGTCAAAACCGACGCGCCCTCGTCGGAGCCGGCCAAGATGCGTCGCAGCCACTCCGCCGGCGGCCGCGCCTACCGGTCCGTGAAGGTCGCCTCGTCGCCGAATCCCAACGTCGATCCGCCTTCCCCCAAGGTCTCCACCTGCTGTGCGATCTTCGCGAGTCCCAAGCCTCCCGCCGGCGGCCGCCGCCCGCGCAGCAGGCAGCAGCAGCCGCCGCGGAGGCAGATGAGAAAGGCTAGTAAGCGCTCTTGATCGATTTCACTTTCCCCTGAATTTTAGACGTCCGAATTTTTCCGCTGTAAGGGGGGAGGGGAATTCAAAATCCGATCTGTTGAACCTACAGAGAATCCATCGAAAACCAAATTCCACGGCTTTCTTCATCATCATCTTCTTCTTCTTCTTCTTCACTTGGGTCTGTCTGTTTTCTTTTGGGTTCGTATAAAGTTGTCTTCTTTATGGTGGGTTTGGATGGGATTAGTGAAATTGTGGATGTACAAAGACATAGATATGTAGACGGCAAAAGCAGCCGATTTTCGATTTCGAGGATTCGAAAATCCCGAATTTGAATCTCGGCTGTGTCAATTGATGTTCCACTCTATCAGCTTATATAAAAAAGGGCTCATGTTTGCCAATTTTAGTACTCTGTTTTCTTCTCTGGATGGAAGTCGCACGGTAAAGCCGTTGATTTTCGAATCGGAGGTTTCGAGAAATCCTGAATTTGAATATCGACCTGCGTCAATTGATGATCCATCCTATCAAGCTTATGAAAAGTTTCAATCTTTGCCATTTTCAGCTCTCTGTTATTCATCTCTGGACTGAGAACTCACAGCAAATTGTTTGTTTGTTTGTTGAGTTATGGATTCATGAGCTCTTTGATCTTTATGATCATCCTTGATCTGATTTGTGGATTATGAGTATATTTACTATATTATGATGATTCTTCTGTGATTAATTTCTGGTAACCAATAATTAGCAAAAGGAAATGGCAGAGGGGGATAAAAAGGGTGGGATCCTTTTGGAGGGAGGAATCATTCTGGTTGATTACAAAGTTGAATCACATAGCTTGCATTTTGTCCTCTACTGTTGGGTCTTAACCACTTAATTTAATTGGGGTTTTCTCAACTAATCACTCTCTATCTGGGTAAATTACATAAACATCCACTCAGTCTTGGGTCACTAGAAAAACTGGTCATTGAATTTTGATTGTTGAACAAACGAGTCATTGAAATTTGGATTAAGTGGGTTTTCATTTGAGTTGTTAAGCTTTTGGATACAAGGAAGAAGTGATTCCGATGATATCTCATAAGGTGGAAGTGGAATTTAATTTAACAAGAGAAAAGGGCGATAAAAACTCTCCAACCTATTAAGTAGCCAGAGGAAGACATCAGGTGAAATCGAGTTTAACCACACGCTTGGTTTGTTTGGAGATTGAGTGAAGTTTGGTTTGGATTCAAAAGGTTGATCTCTATAGCAATGATATCAATGCTATTAGCCAAAGATGAGTCTACTCATCAGTGTGCCGGCCTGGCGGCCTAGTTCTACAATATGACAATATCGCAGTCTTGTGGGACGATACTGGAACGTTCAAGTCTCCCACATATTTACATAAAGTGCAGCCATTTGGCCTAGTGTTAGGCTCGTAAAGGCTTTTCTGCGGCTATGAATTTATATTTGGCTTCAGATTACCAATCTATATGGTCGGTATTAGCTACGGTGTGACATAATTCACGTTTCTATTCTTTCTATAATAGGAAAGGGAAAAAAATTGTGACCTTTTGCTTGACCCCATATGTGAAATTCCACCCCTTCTACTTCCACAAACACCCATATTTGCTTGACCGATGAAACTTATGAGACGACCACAAAAATGGGCTAGAGTTGAAACAGAAATCAGGGGAGAGGTTGAACTAGAATATCCACCAGAGTATGCAATTGGGTTTACGGCCATTTTGATGCTCTGTTTTGTCTGAGTTGAGAGAAGGTTTCATAAAACGACGATTTGGCGTTCACCATCAACACACTGATGGCCCAACTTGGCATAATAAAACAGAGCAATTCGATCACGACATAATCGAGCAGGCAAAAAGCCATCTCAATGAATCAAGAAGAAAAAAAAAACAGGGGAATCTTATGGTTGGTGATAATGCAGAGGTGGCGATCTTGTCTTGAGTCTGGTGGGCTTTCATTCGCTGGGATTGGTCGATATTGTTTTTGAGGATTGCACAATCGAAAGTAGTGGTGATGATGATAATGGTCTTATCAATCTATAATTGCTAATGAATTCGTGCTAATCTTGATTTAGTGTGGTTGCTTACGGCTGATTGCATCATCTTGACTTGAGGGAGTTTTTGGAATTTTGGTATGAGATTATGCAGATCTATGTGTCACGAGTTAATTGGAAAGTTCCATCAAATATCTTGTTTTGGTTAGGAAATCAAATCGTGATGTTTAGTTTTACTAATCAGTTTCTATCCATGAACAAAATTGGGTTTTAAAGAAAAGTCGTCCAAGGATGGCCATATCGGAACCGTCGCTGAGTGGTATAAGATTCATTATTGAGTATCTCTCAACGATTCAGATCAACGAGTTCTCGATACGGTATCAGAACCTACTGCGATCGAGAGGATTTGTGTTCGAACTTCGAATCAAGGCGATCCCCTATTTGTGAAGTACATGCCTACATGGTATTCTCTTATTAAGGACCTGTGCAGACGAAAACCCTCGTGAGTTGTCTCGCTTTCGTTTGAAGTTGGATGTGTATTAGGGAGTTCTCGATACGGTATCAGAACCTACTGCGATCGAGAGGATTTGTGTTCGAACTTCGAATCAAGGCGATCCCCTATTTGTGAAGTACATGCCTACATGGTATTCTCTTATTAAGGACCTGTGCAGACGAAAACCCTCGTGAGTTGTCTCGCTTTCGTTTGAAGTTGGATGTGTATTAGGGAGTGCACTGAATTGTATAAGATTCATTATTAAATTTCTCTCAGCAACTCGAGTTATCGAGATCAACTGATTGTTGACAAGAATAGATCGCAATAATTTAAATGATTAAAACTAATTATTTGTTCTTTACATGATATTGAATCCTCATTTTAACTCTATCGCATCTTGCTAATCTATCTCTTGCCTTCTCTTTGTTAAAAGCGACTAGTGGTCCGGTGGAAAGTGCATTTGTGGCCTCGTAAAGTCCTGGACCAATAACATGCAACATAAGCCCTAAATAGTGTCACAACTCACAAGTTTCTCCCAAACAATTATTTCTCTTCTTCTTCTTCTTTACGATTAATCATTAATGTAAGTTGTGGTGATGATGTTCTTCATTTGAGATGATTGAGATGTGGAAAATTCATTTGCATCAAATAAAAAATGAAGAGCAGAAAGAAAAACAGGAGGAGAAATGGAAAGTGGGTTCGAGAGACTTTACGAAGTCAAGTAACAGGGGAAAAAAGAGAGGTTGAGATGGTTAGCGGCAACTATGTAGTTTTATCGTTTACGTCTTGTCTAAGTTTTTAGTACGCCATGATAAATACTCTTTAAATCCAATTTATGATGTGAATTCCACGACCGACGAATGATATCGTCTCGAATGGCCAACTCTTCCAAGTTGGATTATAGTTAACTTGAAACATCAAATTTTAAGAGAATATCATGCCTGTTTGACTGGTTGAAGCATGTGTCTCGTCCTCATGCTGCATTTTTCATGTAATGTAATGATGGATCAATAGAATTTGAAATTTTAAGCCATTTTTAGTGTTGCCACTGTTGAGCTCCAAATCGCGTCCCTCTCACTGATCTGTATCATCTCTTACGTTGTCGTTGCGCAAATCTTGAGACTCATCAATGAGTTCGCGTACCATTCAACATGGCAAAACCGATTGGTCGTTCCGCGGTTTTGATTGGCTTTGACCATGATATGCTTTTTAACAACGTTGAGTCAAATATTAAGCGGTTCAGACTAGATCGCGCTGGTGTAGTCTGGTCTGACACATTCTGGATCATGCGGACCACATTGAATAAAAAAATAGTTAGTTTTAATCAACCACACAAAAAATCGAACCAATAATCGAGAATTTTTTTTTTCCCTTAAAACATAATACGCATGCATAATTTTGATACCATAAACCCCTGTAAATATCAAAACACAAAGTTAGAGAAACCCAATTTGCACCATAACGTTATAAACATTAACATAACGTCACATGAAAACACAATCGTCTCTACTTTATGGTGGAGTGTGGTTTATGAATGAAGGAGTGGGCGGGATTCACAAAATTAGTGTTGAGACTTGGGTCTCGTTAAGGAGTTGAAAAACTGTTGCGTGCTTATACAAATTGGGACATGATTTGGGTCTACGTTTTAGTGGATAAACAACGATCTGGACCATGTCTGATCAAGAGATCAATACATCCTATAATATAGATTATGGATCAGACTAGACTTAATAGTCTACGATGTGAACCAAACTCTATGGTTTAGTTTGATCCGTTGTTTTTCAAGCGATCTGGTCTATTTTTTCAGTCCTATTTATCCCTTTTGAATATTGGGCAAATACCACAAGGAAACACGAACTATCAGAAAAATGTCACTTGTGTTCTAACTTATCCCTTTTGAATAAAGTAGGACACAAGTGACATTTTTTTTATATTTCGAATGTTGTAGTGGAATTTGCCCTAAAATATTTGTAATGTATTAATTAGATGGTCGAGGTTTGTCGGAATAGTGTACTTCTTCATTCTCAAACTAGGCTATCCACTGAGTACAACATTACCTTGTATGTGCGTCCATATATATACCTTCGCACATATGGGTCATAAGAACGATAAGTGATAGATGATACTATTTCTACTAATAAATACTTAGAACTTTTCCCACAAACTTCTAATTAGGAACGAGAGACTACCGAACCAATGTCGAGAACACTAAAATCTAAGTAGAAAATCTTCAAAGTTGGTATCTTTCCAAGTTTTGTGGAACACAAGATTAGTACCTAATCAAGTAAAGATCTACAATATAGACTACTTCCCATTCCCTGGAAAGCTAGGTACTAACCATACCTCAAAAAGTGAAAAGAATCAGATTTATAGGTACCACAATGAAATATCACATGATGAACGTTCCTTATGCAACACCCCCACCGAGATTCATACAAATCTCGCCGGGAAACATATCCGGCCGTGTAAGGAAAACCCACCAAATGATCGATTCTCCGCCGTTACTACACTCTTCTTCAGATCACTCTTCGCATGTCATATAAATCCCTCAAAACCCACTTCCCCAAATCAATCCCATCACCGCCTTCTCAATTCTTCTTTCAATTACACGATCAAAATGTCGCCCAAATCATCACCGTCATCAGCTTGCTTCCTCACTCTGTTCCTGGTTCTAACCGGCTCCGCCGGTTTCGGGCGGTCGGAGAGGCTGCAGCCGGAAGTGGCGGCGGGTTGCTGGAAGGAAATCTACCAGATCCCCAACTGCCTCTTCAGTATCATCGACGCTTTCATCTCCATCGGCGGGTCCATCGAGGTCGGCGTCGGGGTCGGAGTCCCCTGCTGCGCGGCGTTTTTGTCGCTAACGGGAGACTGCCAGGTCGAGATTTTCCAGAACAGCTCCGTAATTACCCTGATCGAGGTTTTCTGCGAGGCAATCGTCGGTTCTGCGCCGCCGGAGGACGGCGGGGACTTGCCGTGGCCGGAGCCAGAGCCTCCCGTGGCCCCTGCCCCTGAAAACGGCGGCGGAGACATGCCGTGGCCGGAGCCGGAGCCTGCGGTGGCGCCTGCCCCTGAAAACGCCGGCGGAGACATGCCGTGGCCGGAACCAGAGCCTGCCGTGGCCCCTGCCCCTGAGAACGGCTGCGGTGACATGCCGTGGCCGGAGCCGGAGCCGGAGCCTCCTGTGTCTGCGCCCGCCCCTGAGGATTTGGGTTCCACTTTCCCCTGGCCGACGGCTCGTCTGGTTTAGAAGAGTTTCAGGGGAGTGATTTTTAATTTGAACACTAGCTTTGTTAATAATGGTGAATAAGTTAGAGACAGAAGGGATTAGGGAAGGGAAAATGTATTCCCCGCTGGGTTTGGCGGAATTGCTTTCCCGCCTTGTTTTGGGTTTTGACGGGTGTTTTTAGCGCCTATTGAAGGGATCTATCTAATTAGTAATATATTTTGGTTTATTTGCTTAATTAAGCTATCGTGTTACTGGTTGCAATTGCAGGAGAATAAACATCTTTCTCAATTACATATGTTTTGAACTTTGCAATAGGAGTCAGTCTGGATGGATCAAAAACAAACACAAAGACCACCCTTATGTTGTGTTCCTTTGCGTAGTTTCTCGTAACAGAACGATCAACTCCGGGTCAGGGGCTTGGTAATGGCAACAGCCCCTTGTCTCGTTTGGAAGCTATGGTTCTGGTGGAACTAGAATAGGGTAAATGGGAAAGATATTGATGATGGCGGTGGTGTTGGGGTTTTGTAGAGAAGTAAGAATAAGGAAGTGGGGGGTTGGTGATTAAGAAAGAAAGGGATTCAAGAGAAGGGATGAGACGAACAGAGAGATAGAAGGAGAAGGGGAAAAGAAATAGATAAAGGAAGCAGGGGAGATTGGGAAGAAGTTACAGAATTAAGGGAGAAAGAAAAGAGAAGAAGTAGAGAGGGAGAAGGGTAATAGGCGTAAGCCTCCAAAGGGTTCTTAACAATATTATTCCATAATCCAACTAAAGTAATCTTGCACTTAAATAACAAAACAAAGTCTAACTACTCTCCTAATCCTACTCCACGTTCAGGAGAGTGGAACCATGGCCATAACCAACCACTAACAATATTTCAAATTGAAAATTAAAAACAATAAAAAAGGCACGTGACATTCCTTCCTCCTTGAGAGGATTCTTGACCGCAAGAATCAGGAGTCTTCCAGGTCTATATCGACCTCATGATCGCCACCTCTTTCTATGGCTTCAATCAGAAAAAGCTTCTTGCAACGATGTGCTGGATGGAAGGTCTCGTTACATTTGAAGCACAAACCTTTCGCACGACGTTCATTCATCTCAGCAGGGGTAAGCTTCTTGACTGGCAGAGGGGTACGAACGCCTTCCATGGCCCTAGCATGGGCCACCGCTGGACCCTCCCCTGGGTGGCTTCGGACATCTTTAGCTTCATACAACCTTGTGATGCAAGCAAGAAGGATACCGTACGTGTCAAGCTAGCTAAACGGTGACGTTTCTACTTCTGCTGACCAGCCTTACAACACGTCGTCGTCTTGACATCAACGGACAAAAGCAGACGAGTCGTCCTTCCAAGTCTTCGACTGAAAGCTTCGAGATGATCAAAACCTAGCCACCCACCTATACTCTTCCAGGAGCGGAGCATAGCAAGCCATATCTGGCAAATCGATTTCCTCAAGAAATCGATCTTCAGAAGGAACATACTCAACCTCCAGAGAGTCAATTTCCAGAGGAGCGTCTTCAACCAAGCCAACGGTCATCTTCTTCCTTCCAATATAAATAGGTCTGTTCTTTCTTAATTAGAACTTGACTGAGTGATTAGAAGAAAATAGCAGAGAGCATATTTGTCTTCCTTGAGTCCACTTTGTAATCTCTTCAAGCAACTTAATTCACAGTGCGTTGTGCTGGGTGAATTAGGTTTAGGAAGAGAGGTTTCTTCGAGTTTGTTTTCTGTCAAAGGGCCAACGTTGTTTGGCGTAGCCTACGGGCTCGGTGTATTTCTTTTACTCTTTGTAGTTCTTCTCTTTTAATCAATATAATTTCCTATTCACAAAGTGTCTAAGAGAAAGAGAGATTGAGTAAAGTGTGAATTTGAGAGGATTTCTCCAATTCAGGTTTCTTCAATTGGTATCAGAGCTGGGTCTTTGAAGGATTTAAGCTTCGCCAAAGACGATCACTAAAATGGCAGGATCACAACCAGCTTCCGGTTTCTACTCGGCAAATACAAATCCGCCATGGTTTGATGGCACAGACTACACTGTGTGGAAGAAGAGAATGAGGATCTATCTTCGAGGAGTCGATGGTGGATTATGGGCGATTGTCAAGAACGGGCCAATTCCTATGGACAATGAAGAAGAAGAAAAATGGGAAGATGATCAAAAGATTTCCTCCCAGCAGGACTCAAGAGCAATGCATATTCTATTCTCTGCTCTCAGTCCAGAGGAAAGGAGCCAAGTTGCGCAGTGTGAAACAGCCAAGGAGATCTGGGAATCTCTTGAAACTACACATGAAGGTACATCTGAGGTAAAAGAAAGTAGAATAGATGTACTACTTAATGAATATGAATCTTTTGAGATGTTTTCAGGAGAAACTATCACAAGCATGTATAAAAGGTTTAATGATTTGATAAACAGATTAAAAGGATTAGGAAAAACTTTTGCTACCAAGGATCTGGTTAGAAAAATCTTAAGGAGTTTACCTAGAGAATGGCTTCCAAAGAGAACTGCTATAGAAGAAGCAAAAGACTTAAATGTGCTGTCAATTGAAAGATTAGTAGGATCACTGCTTAGTCATGAAGAAGTAATAGTCCAAATGAACAAAGAAGATAGTAAACGAAAGAAAGTTATAGCTTTCAAAGCACAGGACTATGAAAGTGAATCTGATTATGAAATGGGAGAAGAATTTGAAAAGGAATTCGCTCTAATTAGTAGAAAGTTTCATAAAATGCTAAAAATGAAGAGGGAGTTTGAAGATAGAAAGAACTATGGAAACACTAGACTATTTAACAACAGGGTATATGAGTCTAGGAGAGGTAAAGAAACAGAAAGGACAGCTGGTCGTTATTCTCAGAATGATAAGAATGTGTTTAAACGAATAGAGAGGCCAGCTGAGGAACGAGAAAGGAAAGCTCAGGAAATTAAGGAAGACCATAGGTCTTCCAGTGAAAAAGAGTTAACTGTTTGTTTCAAGTGTGGTAAGACAGGTCATATGAGGTCCAGATGCCCTCTAAATCTAAAAAGACAGGAGAAGGCTATGGCAGTCTCGTGGAGTGACTATAGCTCAGAAGAGGAAACAGAAACAAGAAACCTAGCCTACATGGCTTTTGCAACTAAAGATGAATGTGAGTCATCCTCAGGACTGAGCAGTAATCAAGGACATCCATCTAGCTATCAGGTAATATTTGATTCAGAATCTGAGAAAAGTGAGTACCCTGGCTCAAAGTCAGAATTTTTGCATGCTTTAAAAAATCTTCAAGAAGAATGCAATAGACTTAGGAGCAGATATTGCCTGTTGATGACTGAAAATCATAGTATGACTAAAAAATTGTGTGAATTAAAAGAAATAGTTGCTGTTCAGCATGAAAATGAGAATGATCTTAGGAAACAGATCTTTGAGCTAATAGATGAAAATCAAAAATTAAAAAGGAACCTACACTTTAAGGCTCACACAGTATCCAGAAATACTACTTGCAGAACCAGAACATGTTACATACCCCCTAAAAGGATACATGATTCATCTAATAGTAGGATAGAGCATCAAAAGGGGTATGCAGAAATATATGTATGCTCTCACTGTAAACGCAGAGGTCATCTAGCAAATTTTTGCTACGATCTTCTGAAACCAAAAAAACCTGTCAAATACAAAACATTTTGGGTACCAAAGTGTGCTAACAACTGATTGATTGCAGAATCTGGGAGAAAAGGAAAACATTTGGTACCTGGACAGTGGGTGCTCCCACCACATGACAGGTAGAAAAGAATTATTTTCTTCATTAGAATTTAAAAGAGGAGGTAAGGTTGTTTTTGGTGATGACAGAGTTGGTAAAATCATAGGAAATGGAACCATTGGTAAGTGTCCTCTTCCTGTTATAAAAGATGTCTTGTTTGTTGAGGGCCTAAAACACAATCTCCTCTCAATTAGTCAGTTATGCTGTTCTGAAAACAGAGTAGTCTTTGAAGCAAACTCTTGCAGAATATCTAGGATCAGTGATGACAAACTACTATTCTGTGGCATAAAGAAAAATAATATGTATGTTGTCAATCTAAACAGTTTAGAGACATTTAATGAAACATGTTTTCATGCTGCATCAAATGAACTGGAGAATCTTTGGCATAGGAAATTAGGGCATATTTGCATGTCAAAACTGTCAAAACTGTCAAGACTTGAATCTGCACGTGGCATTCCTAAGTTAAAAGATAAGCCTAACTTCTTTTGTGATGCTTGTGCGAGTGGTAAGCTAACCAAGAAAAGTTTCAAATTAAAGAAAGACATAACCACCTCACAGGTATATGAGTTAGTGCATATGGATCTATTTGGACCAACAAATGTGGTAAGCCTTGGAGGTAAATCCTATGCTTTTGTTCTTGTTGATGACTTCTCTCGTTTTACTTGGGTATATCTTTTGGCATCAAAAGATGAAGCTTTTGGCATGTTTAAAACATTTGTTTCAAAGGTATTGAATGAATCTGATACTGGGATTAAGACAATTAGGAGTGACAATGGGGGAGAATTTATATCAGACCAATTCATTGCCTTATGCAATGATAAAGGAATAAACCACACATTCTCAGCCCCTAGGACACCACAACAGAATGGTATTGTAGAAAGAAAGAACAGAACAATAATAGAAACTGCCAGAACCATGTTATTAGAATATGGTAGTCCTAAGCTCTTATGGGGAGAAGCAGTTATGACTGCAGTTTATGTAATAAATCGAGTACTAATCAGAAAACAGATTGAAAAAACCCCATATGAAATCTTGAAACGTAAAACACCAAATTTGAGCTACTTTCACCCATTTGGATGCAAGTGCTATATATTAAATACCAAGGACTACTTGTACAAATTTGATGCCAAAGCTGAAAGAGGAATATTTCTTGGTTACTCTATAAAAGGACAAGCATATAGAGTGTACAATCTGAAAACCAGGCGAGTAGAAGAGTCAGTCTTTGTGAAATTTGATGAATCTGCCTGTGATGAGAAAGTTGCTGCAGAAAACATTGATCTTCTGTTCCCAATATCAAACATT